GTATTACTTGTTGCTCAAGAGAAAATATTATAATATAGTATAATTGAAAGGCAAAAGACATAATTCTTCTAATAATAAGAAATACATATACAATTTAATTATTGCATAAGTATAATACGTATTTATTGTATAATATAATAATAATAAAATAATTATTATGTACTTATTAATACATACATGTATAATAAACTCATATCTGTAATATTTCATGTTTATCTGAAACTTAAAAAATGGCATTATTTGTAATATAAGATTCACTAAATCGAATTTTAAAATTGTACCATTAATTAAAAATATAAAACGTAACCTATCTCGTTTTCCCTTATAGCCTTCATATAAATATGAAAATTTTAATTTATAAAAAGTATTTATTGCAAAGCGTTGCAGCTGACCCTGCTACATAATCTTCCATTATTACAAAGGGGCGTCCGGGCAGACTATCGTCAGCGGGCGTGTTAATGATAAAATAATGATACCGTCACAACACACGCGAGACAATATAATCATTACGAAAAGAAACTTTATTCACCGACCGCAAAGTAATTGCCGGTGATAACGAGCTGTCCGAATGAGTGATAATTCGAAGCCTACCAGAATGTACTATAGCTCGGCTAGATCATAGTACTTTAATTAAGATCCTTCCATTAATTTACCAAAACTTCCCTCGCTAATTATAAATATATTTGATCTACAATTATATTCATTTATTATCATTTTCTTAAATTATCTCGATATGCAATTTACAAGTAATTTTGTAAAATAACGACTTAATTTTTTGAAACATGGCATTGTTATGTAAAACACTGTGCAACAATGAATGTCGGCAAAAGAAGTCTTAAACAATAAATATGTCAAATCTTAGAAAATAGCCTTAGAATTACAAAATAGCATGAAATAAGAAAACAATGCCTGTTAGAAAAACTAGTCATAAAACAAGCAATTTAACAGATGCAATTAAACAAAAGAAATATTTAGACACATACTACACATACTCACACATATAGCATTGCATGTAACCACTCATAAATTGCATCAATTTTAATTTATCTTCGTGTGAGTAATTCATGAAAATTTACTTAATACTAACTATAACAGTTTTTTAAAAAAAAAGTATGACCATTTTCCAACACGAGTATTTGTTGCGACGCAAAATAGTGGAGGGTACTCTCTCAAATGTATTATTTGGAAAGAATCATTAAATTAAAACTGTGTTCTTTTATGTGTTGTACCTACAACTGCTTTTTTACAGCCTTTTCTTACAGTCTATCTGAAACAAATTATAATGTACTTGTAATTATGAAAGTGGCCAATGTAAAAAATTTAGTACAAATGAATTTTTCACTTATTTTGTATTACATTCATTTATTTTTGTACAGTAATAAATTTTTTCAAAGAATCGAAAAATTGTACTATTAGATCGAGTTCGTATTTGTATTTAAATCAATTTTATAATTTGACCAAAGGCGAAACATTTAATGTCTCAAAATAAAATATCTTTCATAATCACCTGCACGTATGTGTTGCTTTCGAGTCCTGTTAATATTCTAACACGTCTCTCTCTGTTTGAGCTCTCAATGTTTGATCTATCTTAATGTAAACTATACTATGTAGTGATTGGTTCATTACTGTTTGATGTGGTGGATGTTTAGTTGCTATTCTCATTGCTCGCTTTTCATGGGAAGCTCGTTAGTACTTTGCGGTCTAACAATGTAACTGAACGTTTCTACATTGGAAACTCGCCAATTTCGATTGTCTAACCTGTTTGACATTCCACAGGTGGTTGCCTTCTATACGAAAATCTAGAATGTACAGCGAACAGTATGAGAATAAAAAATTCTGTGACTCAGAACACACGTTTGACTGGATTTCATTCAGTTTTGGTTATGTTTGACTTGGTTTATGCCTACTGTTTAATTTTGTTTATGCCTATACCATAAATCATCGGTGATTTACAACGCTCAACAGTGATTTTTTCTTAAAAAAAGAATAAAAGATTAAAGATAATTAATCAGTGCTGTATTCTAATTTTTGTATCGGTGCAAACCGTTTCCGACTATGTTATGTGCATATCAATCCTCATACATAACCTACATAATGAAATTTAGGATTTGCACCATGCACCGCATATTTCAATATGTACGGGACGCTTAACCTCTTCAGGAATGAATTAATTGAAAAAAATTATATTTTACATTTCACTTACATTTATTTAAAATATATTTATAAGTATTAAATGGAATAGATAATACCGAAAAATAATATACTATTTGTTGTTACATATGTATACTGCTTTTAATATACCTGCACTACACTCCCTAAAAGGTTAACGTCCTCTTTATGCTCTTTAGATCACAGATTTGATAACTAGACTACCATAACAAACCGTATCCCTCACCTCTCGAATTGTTGATTTTTCCTAACCTTAATTCTCATAAACAAAAGAAGAATAAACTGGAACATAATCGACTACAAAAGTTCAACTTTTTTTTCAAAAACGATTCTGTGTTTAGTGCGTAATTAAATTCAGACTAGGCGTTGTAAAATGTTGAATCATATCGTTGAATATGCGTCTTCCATGTGACCTCAGTGCTTCAGACACACCGACTGCGTACCAGATACCATGAGACTAGGAGCGATTGCACGGTCTGAATCTTGCCTGGCCCTCTTTTTCTATCTCTCTTCCAATTCTTCCTTCTCTCTTTCCACTCTTCCATAAGGATGTAGGAGTACAAGGATACAAGAACGATGACAACGTTCCTCAGTGTCAAACGTTGCCGCAGCGCGTCGCTGATAGTCGAAAATTTGAAGGCGGTTCTCCACGCGGCGAAACCGCTACCCGAGAAATATATTCGGCCGATATTATCTGTTTCGGCACGTACACGCATAGTTCGTAGTACCGTTGTACGATTTCGTTTCGTTATCTAACCGCGTCGATGTATGTAATTCGTGTCAAGCGATGCGTCTGCGCTGACAGTGACGTATTAATGACCGTTCAACGCATTTATCGTTGTGGACGAACTACGAATTGGTCAAAGTAGATTTAATTGGGATAGGGGTTTCGGTTAGATTGAATGTTCGAAAGGAGATTCGATGGGTTAAAGAACATTCGAGATAGAGGGACTGCGAGAAAGTACTGAATAATATGTATTTTTATTCAACGTATGTATATATTTGGTGTATTTGAATCGATATAAATAACGATAATATACTAATTGTTTAAGAAATCTAGTAATTCAAATTATGTTTAAAATAACCTAAAAATTGAATGTTTATATTTGAATTAATATAATTAATAATTATAATATCTGAATTGTTTGAAGAATTTCAGAAGTTGAATTATATTTGAAATAATTTGTTGAAATTTTTAAACAAGACTCCATGTTTTTTACTACTGTTTATTTAAATTTTTTTAATTTGAATTTTATGTAGGATCTGTAAATATGGCATGGAAAAATTGTGTTGGAATTTGACAATGTAATTGTGAAAGAAAAGGAACTGAATTTTTTATTAATTTTTCAGATAAAACACGAATTTCAGATAAAACACGAATATTATAAATTCTCAGAAAATAATTCGACGTTAAAGAAGAGATACAGTAAATCGAATTCCGATCGTTTTAATTGCACCAGCTAGCTATTCGATAACATCTTTATCGTAAAGAGTGTTTTAATAACCAGTCCAGAATAAACCAGAAACATAATTCTGGAGACCCTGAACAAGCAATCTGTCGTCGAAAGTTTTTCTGGTAAATAAGAAATGTAAATAGAACGAAACGCGAACGTTACTTTTCAAATCACGAACCATAATGGTAGGAATATATAATTCTTACTTATAATTCAATGAAATACTCAATTTAATAAAATATTGCTTATTTTAATCAACATACGTATGATATAAATGACATTTACACTAATTAACGTATTTCTTTCTATTATAGATTACAAGAAATGTATAAACAATTTATTGTATAATATCATATGAAATAATACTAAACAATTGATTTGTGAGATATTATTGTATTAAATAATATTGAATTCGATTTTTAAATATCATATTCCATATGTAAATATTAAAATTTAATACAAAGGATGCTCAAATATATTAAAATATATGCATTTCAAAATTGGAACGTTGAACTGTCGACGCTACCAATAAAGGATCATTGTCGTTTAATATTAACGGAGCATGCTACATTTTTATATGGATCATCCGACAGTAACTGTTTCCTAAACTTAAAAGTAGCTGCTCACTAATACCAAGTATTTCTTAAAGCTACAATGAGTCATCGTCCTTTAGAAAATACAAATGATCAAGACATTAACTGGACGTAACTCACACAGTGAGTATTTTGTAATTTATTCCGAACAATGTGAAGATCCATGAAAAATGACTCAACTAAGAATATTTCTTATTCATTACGTTCTAACGGCGCATCGATATTCATTACCGATAGAAGATCCCGTATTTCCATATTGCATACGTATCCAGTATACTTATATTAAAATAAGAATATTAAAGAAGAATTATTCTCGATTCTCCGTGAATTAAAAATATTTTTATCCCGTAGTTCCATTTTGCATACGTATCCAGTATATTAATATTAAAGTAAGAATATTAAAAAAGAATTGTTCTCGATTCTCCGTGAATTATAAATATTTTTTCCCCGAATGCAATTCGAGATCGAAATAAAACCCGAGTTAAAAATTTTAGGTTATATCCGAATTGTCGTCCGATTAAAATTTCGATTTAATTTATTCAATTAATTTTAATAAATCTAATTAATCGGGAACGATTTCCATCCAGTACGCATCAATGATTAGCCATCATTCGATACGGAAGAAGAGTTAACGCGCAACTATAGCGGTGGCATTAACCTAAGCGCGGCGTGCGAAGAAATTACGAAGTTAAAGGCACTGTACTCTCTCTTCTTTGTATGTGACAGTGCGAGTCGCTCAGCGACACGAAGAAAGAGACGAGAAGGATACGAAAAGGAGACATACCTGGCTGAGAACGGAGCTGCTCAGCTGGGACTTGACAAGAAGGGATTTAAACACCTCTCGTTCCACATTTCCACTCGTGGGAGAACAGATCTTCTCGTAGACTTCTCTGTAGAACGCCGGTATGCAGCCTGGTTCAATGCGGCGACGAGAAGCAAAATAAAAGAACATCACTTCGCGGGAAATTTCACTTTTCACAAAAAAAAACATTACAGCGCGGGGCGAACTAGCACGTATATATAAAGCAAGGAAAACCTCCGGGATTTATATAAATAAAAACCATTATTGCGTAAACATGTTAACCTTAGATAGCGAATGCAATGAAATATCGATAATTGATGTTTCGAAAGTATAATTTCAACAAATTTGCTCGATTAAATTTATCTAGTCGTTCTTAGTGCATGCACAGAATTTTGTTTTAATTTATGAATGAATGTAATCCTTTTTAATGAATATATGTCGATGGTACTGTAGAAATCGAACGGATAATAATTAAAAAGATGTTTGCGATAGGATCGAATATAAATAATGAAACATTTAATTCACAAAGAGTAATCAACGAGTTATACAAACAAAGCACAACGCGTGAATAAGATGCTACAGCGAAAAAGAGAGAGAAAGAGCTAGCGACGCTCGACGATGTTAAAAGGGATACACGTTGCTCTTAAAAACCGGACGACCTCGGGAAGACCTTGTCAAAGGTGCATACGGTACACGGGTTCATCATTTACCGAACGACAGATCGGTCGACGCCATATTGGATCACTTGTAGATCATCCGGGATCCTGCGAGAAGGTTGCACCGCGGCTTTTCAAAGATACAGTCACGTTCACGATCGTCTTTAAAACAATGTTTTATGTACACTCGCGTTGCGTATTCTGATGGAATGACAATATAACCTGTTGGCCAGATACCAACCACAACGCAAGAACACTAACAACATACGCCATTGCCGTGTGGCGCAAAACTGACGACCAGCGCGATTCCTCCGACCGGACCGTTCTTATTTCTCCCGCCGCGCATGCGCCCTCTCACACGTTCCACTTACACTAACGGCTCTATAGGTTTCAAGCGCGGGAAATTCGTAACTTTAGAACATTATTTTGTAAAGAATGATGTAAAAACAATGTATATTATTATCTAAAAATATTCTAGAAATATTTAAGTAGGTGAGAATTAAAATAATACTCAAACGTGTAAAATTTGCATACAAATATGTACCATAGTCTACATATAAAATATGCAAAGTATATGTATATATAATTCTACGTGTATAAATGTTTTTGTATATATTTACATATTTCGCAGTCGTTAATACAGTATACGTACATTATACAAGCACTTTTAAATAGTTTTCATTTCTTATCTTAAATATATGCATTCTATTTATATATTTATGTTTATATTAAACTTTCCATACCTTTTGATATGTGCAAACATCAGCTAGAAGTGAATACCAATATTTCAGCCTTTTATGTTATTATTTTATTATATCTACTATATATATTATTTAAAATTATATATAATGTATCGTGTAAATGTGATAAAAAGTATAAATTAATTAAATATAAAAGACTGGAGGTTACAATAATTCTTAATTTTCGTCAAGTTGACCTAATGGAAATGGTTTTGGCAATGGTTTTTCGAGTTTCCGGATATCCTTTCGAATTTCTTTGGATCTCTGTTTATCTACCGATTCGATCAATCGTAACTTATGCGCGACTTCTTGCTGTATTATAGGGCGATATTTCTTATCCATTCCAAGACATTCCATATCGTTTAAAAATTCCATTCGTTCTTTAATTCCTCGTACCACTAAAAAATAAAAAGAGATATAAGAAAAACGTAATACAGTTGTTGGTTTTATTTACTTACGATCATCGATGGAATCATTGGTGTCAGAATTACGTGGTTCTCGTCTCGCTTTATGAAGAATCCTTGGTCCATGAGGAGTTTCAGGCATATCCTTGCCGTATGCCATCATGCATGCTAAATGACGCTTTTGTTTTTCTTTATTACCTAGGAAATGAAAAATAGAAGAATAAACTCGTAATTTCTTTTTTTTATATTATACTTGTTATATTTTATTTATACAAATAAATAGTAAAATTGGCAAGATAAATAAAATGACTTATAATCTTACGCAAAGGAGATGTTCTTCTATACTGCTCCCTCTCATAGGCACCACTTTTAATAATCATATCTTGTGATCGTTTTTTCCAAGCAGTAGGTATCAAAACCTATGCAAACAGATTTTGTATAATTTTCAGCAAATTGTTCCTCTTAACTGGATTTTACCTGATACTGCAAATTATGCTTATTCGATTCTACTTTCGAATTTTCCACAACTGGTAAGGGCTCACCCCGGTTAATCGCTTCCTGAATAGTCTTTCTTTTCATCATACTAACTTTGGATTCCTCCATTAGAACTAAGATCACAGTGTTAAATATTGATTGAAAAATTTAATAACTGTATTTTGTAAAAGAAAAATTAACTTTACACTTTCCTTCAAGTTATACATTATTAAATAAAATTGAATAATTGTATAATATCAAATATAAAAATTATATAATTATATATAACAGATTAGTTATACAATTAGTTATAATTTGTTAATAGATTATTACATTGTACAGTATATTATTATATTAGTTACATAATATTGAATAAAATAAATATATATAATATATAAAATGATATGAACATAATTTTGAATTTAATACATATAATATCAAAATCTATACACATCATATATGCTCTATATGAAGCTGCGTATATAATATAATTTTCTATAAAGACTAGTATATAATCATCTCACGTATCTTGAATTTTGAATTACAAATAAAAACTAAAAATCCATTTGATTAATCATATTGAAACGTATTGAATTTTCGAAAAATTTGCTTACGTTTGATCAAATTTTTTGTTTCCTCGCTATATTTTGCTCTCGGTGGGTGATGAAACGCACCCACCCCCATCTCCACTTTCTGATACTTTCGATCCATTTTGTAGCCTCCTGTAAAGATCGAATATAGAGGCTATCGACGCGTCAGCATAGTTTAATAGCTACGAACGAACTGTCATGATTCGTGCTACGCGAAAAAGACAACCGCGATACAAACAAGCATGTTGAATCCGTGTCACGTTTCTATGGCTACTTTGAAAATGATTCAACCTCGATCGAACCAACTTTCGAACTGCAATTCAAAGTTTCACGAGATTGCCAATAAACGGCTGAAGTGGCACCTGTTCCGCCGTAATGAATGAAGTATCAGCGATTCCTGCGGAAGTAGAACGCTTGTGGATACCTGGTAACAATACGAAACGTCGATGACAATGAAACAAACTGACACGAAAATAACAAGATTTATTTTTAATATCGGTTACCTGTAATGTCCCTCGTGACATGCTAAAGAAATTTACTGCAACAAATATGATAAAATAATATTTTAATTTCGTATTTTACGAAGTATTTTTTCAGGTAATCATTCCTCTTTCTTTATTAATCTAATATATAAGAAATCCATAAGAGCAACATACTATTTTACCATACTATTTCAAAACAAATAATGTGTTTAAAAAAAAAAGAAATAATAAAATATTATTTCTACATGTAAAATATTCTACTATAATATTTTAGAAACAGTAAAACACTAGAAAAATAAAAGAAAAAATAAAGAAGCGCACCTTATCTCATATTTTAAGTAGTAACTAAACAGGTAGTTAAACAGCAAAACATAACCTCATATAAAATGTACAAAATATCAAACACTAACTCTTTAACATATAAAATAAGCAATAAAGAAATATCTATCATACATATACATATCATATCGGTAGCTAAGACTCTCAATTTCATGTCGTTGCATCAATAATAAATACAAATTTTTCCCGTAACACGGATCTAGGAGACAGAAAATTAATAATTTTGCGCAAGTAACAATCAATGATCAATTGGGAACGGATGCACCTTGAAGGATGCGGCAGTAGATCGGCCTGCTGCGCATGTCGTGCAGTCCACCGCTAGGGGTATACGTTCCTACCCCCTCCCCTCCACAGAGACGAGGTAAATTCGCGTTTCGTGCGTCGAACGCGCACAAACAGCTAACTGGGATCCCTTAAATCATTGTTCTCATAATTCGAACTCTCTTACGGGGCCCAGTAACGGGACGAAATATCCTCGTCCCAAGTCCTCCATCCTTCATGTGATATCGTTTCGCCTGACAATCGAATCTTTCGCTTTCATATGAGCGAGAGACAGTGAAAGTTATTGATTTTCATTGTGAACTACGTTTCAGTGATATCCCGTACACTTTTTTCCGGGAGGTGAGTAATGACATCGCGTCGCTCGCTTTCCTTTCGAAAGCGACGAATCTCGTCTGAAGATTCGTCGAGCCTGACTCGATTACAGCTGACACTTCCTGCTCCCGTCTTTTCTCTCACTTTTTCCTTCTTCTCCCTTCGTGTTGTTGTTATCGTTGCGCCACGAACAACGGCGGCAGCAGTGACCTAGAAGGGTCGCACGTTTATCTTTATGTTTGTAATTATTGCAGTGGATTTTGGTATAATGTATGATGACTGTATAGTTAGTATTTTAATTATTGTAGAGCTGAGTCTTGTTAGAATACATTCCGTGTGATGTTTTCGTTCGTTGGATGTTATATTTCTTTTTTCTGTTTTCAGAGATAATAATTGCAAAGAGTATTCGTATTGCTAAAAAGAAAATAAGGAAGATCCAAAATGAAGGTGGGACTCTTAAAGAATTTCTTGCACTATTTCAACTTGAAACAGGGTACAGTATTGATAGCTGTGTTCCAATTGGTAAGTACGATCTATCGTGTAATAATCGCGGTAAGAAATTATAAAATAATTGCGATTAATCTAATTTATTAATTTTTTTTTACAGTTTACATCTGGGTTTAGTATTATATTTGTCGTACTAGCGCTAACACATGCTAAGGGAATTCAAGAAATGGTAGTAAGAGATACAGAAGATGCTCTGGAAAGGGAAGCTCTGGAAGATATATCATCTAATCATTTAAATACTAGAAAAATGGATATGGCGCACCATAATGCAACTGGTGTTTATAATATAATTTTAAAGATATTTCACATTTTATTGTTTTGTAACAAGAGTTTCGTTAACCGCCCTTTTCAATAATTATTTAAAAGGCACACGATCTTCGGGATTTTCATAATTCTTTAATATGTTGTAGAAATCAATATTTCAAACAACTTTTTCCTATATTGTTTACGAATATCTAAATTAGGACCAAGCGGTGGTTATATGTACAGGAAAAAGTAGATCAAAATATTGATCGCTATAATATATCAAAAAATCATAGAAATTCTAAAGAGAGTTTGCTTTCTAAATAATTACCACCATTCCTTGTTTCGTTTATTATCATATTTCTCCACAAAAATTTTGAAGCCCTTTCATATGCTTCTAGAAACAGTTTATTCGATGTACTGTGGACTAGTGATCACAGTGATACATTTTATTTCTACTATTCTACTCTTATACGGTGCGCTCACGGTAATTATAGTTTACGTAGTTATAAGCAGAGGTAATTACGTGATAAAACAAGTTATTTTTTCCAACAGAACAATCGTCACTTTATGGCGCCCTGGATGATGGTCATGATGACGATAATATCGGCGCTGACGATTTCTTTGTTCCTGGTAGAACAAGACTGCCCTTTTATCGCTACCCTTGGTGGCAAGGCTGATATCTGTGAACGTAAGTTGATAAGTATATGAGAAAAACAAAATATAATTCTATAACAGATATCAAATTATTAGGTCATTATATACGAATTGTCGTTTTCATTGAAATAATTTCTTGTAATTAATTAATTATGAATGATGTAGTTAGTAAAAGTAAAATTTTGAAATAATTTCGATATACATAATTCTATATGCTTCATTTAAAAATTATTAAGTTCTAAAGTAAAACATTTTTTTAATGTTTCTTTTCACAATTTTTTTTTTCTGAAATAATTTATACATTAAAATATCATTTGAATAATTAGAAAAATTTGTCGAAATTTTATACTCAGATTCATATGGTTTACTTTTTTTTGGTAGAAAGGTTGAACTTTCATTAAATGATGAATAATTGTAGAGTGGTTCAGCTGTCTTGAATTCTATAAATTAACGTTAACCTATTCTAACATTTACACGGGCTTCTTCAGATGCTGAATGTATATCTTCATTACATTTTTCAAGTTTAAATTGGAATATTTTGATAACTTATAACGTAGAATAATCAAGTTTTGATCATTTTATTATATTGCCTTTTAATATTTATCATGTGTGTATTATAATTAAATTCCTCTCGTTTGATATGATAACCCATTAATTAGGTTTTGAAGAATGACATTTTATGTGCAGCAATCTAATACATTAATGATATATTTACGAATATAAATTTAAAACATTTTTAAATTTTCGCATTTATGTTATCGAAGATCTCTTTTTTCCTAGGTATGATCGCTCTAATTTTCATAATCACTAGTTCTTACGTATGGTTCGTCGTCTACAGCACATACAAGAATTTCGAAACGAAGAAGGGACTGACTCACGTACTTCACGGGGTGAAGAAAAAGCCTGTGGTTCCGGTCGTGCAAAAGTCAAAAGCCGTTCAGGTAGATGCAAATAAACCGTTCGAAGTTTAAAAACGTTATACGAAGGTATAGAAATAGTGACAGAAAGTTGAATTTATTCGTTACAATGAATGTGGAAAAGCGCATTTGGTGGCGAAAGCTCCCATTATCAAGAGATATCCTTCAAATGACAGTGTTTTTTAAACAAATTTTAAAATTATCTTTAGTCAGTCAACAAGTTCTATTGATATTTAATCTTGTTACTTAGAGTTTTATAATTTAACCGAATTTGAACATGTTTCGCCTGTGTTGATGAATGAAAAATGGAACATTAAAATGTCGAATAAAAAATGTGGTTAATTTATGTTCGAAAAACACTGTGCATCTTATTTCTATATATAATACAACAGAGACATTTCATTTTACAAAAGCTCAAAAAATGTTTGCAGTACAAAAAGCTTGCTTCGTATTATTATACGTGTTTCTTATTGTTCATAGGTTATGATTAATGTTTGACAGATTTGCGTTGTTTTCTAACGATCTTTAAAACTCTGAACAACGCACAGAGACTTACAAGTATTCTTAAAGTATGTAAATCTAAACTGCATATCGAAATGCGGCGACGCATATATCGTAATATATATGTATATTTTTCATTTCAATCATTGCTCTGACAAATCGTAAAATTCTTTTAATAACACGAAAAATTTAGTTTAAATGTAGACAACGTGCATTCTCTTTGTGTAAGACTGAATTTTAATTAATAATGTTGTGTAAGATTAATCATCACATTTGCATAACATACGAAAAAAAGAGAAAAAAAAATAAAATACATTGCTTGCAACTGATCATATTGTTTATATTTTATTGTAAACAAATACAATGTTTTATCTCGTAATCATTTTTATTTTATATTCAATCCCAACTTCTTTATGACACTACTACAACATTGATATTTTGTGGTAATATTTCAATAATAACAATTGAATGTAGTTATTCCTTGTGTATATGTATATTATATGTGTATACGTATATACTCTTTGCATATACACATATGTATATACATATTATATGTGTATATGTATATTAAATGTATGAAACCATAAAAATAAAGATTATAAAACTTCATTACGTTATATACGTCCCATTATTTTATTTGGCTATTTATCGAATATAATCGATAATTAGTCAAATCTCATGGTTTTACATTAATCTCTAATATTCATGATACGAAATACGATATACGAAATATATTCGAACATCATATATTTTCTGTAACGTTAAATTAAAAAAGACATTTATAATTTTATAAAATAAATATAAAAAAGTACATGATTTGATCGCTGAGCATAAAGCCACCAAAAACTGCAGGATTAGTTTCAGAATGATAAATTGCTTAATTTAAATGTAAGAAAATTACTTTTTACACCGACACATTAAGCGGAACTCTAAACATCGAATTCCTTTCTCTGCTTATAACATTTAAGAACTTATAGTTCTGTAAGTAGACATCTCAGAAATAGGCCCTCTAGCGTTTCTTAAACCTTTTTTTTGCCATTGATAGTCTGCACAGTCCACATAACACCAACAAATAATAGTACTTTTCATTTGGTCCTCTACCATATAATATGATTTCAAATAACAAACACAATATTCAGTTTCCATATAAACTATTCCATTCCGAACCCACGCAATGAACACTAAAAACATAGTGTTAAAAATATGTACTTTCATTTATTCACTTCACATAAAAAATGAAAGTAATAAAGCATTTAAAATTTTTAAAAATGTTTACCTTCTCTTCGTTTTCCAATCACATTTTATCATCAGTTAATTCAAGGAACTGTGCATAAAACTCTTTCGTACATTCGCCTTTATTATTAAACACAAATTTATAATAACTACCATCTGCACAGATTACTGTAAAGTAAAAGAAGCTACTGTTATTCAAGGTATCATTGCTTATAGTATATGTGTATATTACTATGGTATAATACTGACCTATAATACTATTGTTATCAGTTCCAAATGCACACATGCATTGTGGACCACCTGGAACTTGAAACTTACAAAAGCTCCAGCTTGAACTAAAATATTTTGGCAGAAAAGTAGCAGATGCTAAACTAGATTGACGATTTAATTTCTGATCTTCTACAGCAAAAACATGAACAGTTCCATGATCACTTGCCACACACAACCAAGTGGAATCATGATTAAAATTAATGCTATAATAATATAAATTTGAACAATTAGTAAAATAAATGATTATTTACAATATTTTATTTTTATTTACCAATAAATATTTGCATGATTAGCTCCTCTTCTTAACTCATTAATCATATTTCCAGTCTGGGTTTCAAATACTCTTATTAAGGTTCCCTTTTCTGAAGCTGTAGCTAATCTAGTACCTTGTAAATTTAAAGCTATGCATGACAATGGTGTTTCATGTGCTTCAATATTTAATGACTGCTTTTCTGTATTAGCCAAATCTATTACTGGAAAAATAAAATAAACTTATTTTACAAGATAAAAGAACAAATAATACTAAAATTTTTTACTTCAAATTTTACCTTGGACATGTCCGTTCTTTCTACCAGGAAAAGCAAGCAAAGAGTTGCTACTATTTGGACATAATACACACAGACCTCTGGGATTTGGATTAGTCTCAAATACATGAAGTTGTTGTGGATTTTGCGTAAATGTGTAAACTTTTATAACTCCTTCTAAAATTACTACTACCCTATCTCTTCTCAATTTAACACCCTTTACAGGAGCATTGAACTCTAATGTAATTGCTGATGACTTTTTAAGATCATCCCATATTATAACTAAAAGTGTTACATAAAATAAGTAATAAATAATTCATTCTTTTTATCCTAAGGTAAAGAAAATATATAAAATATTTTACCTTTATTTGTTGGATACATTGGTTTTACTCCACTACCAACTAATGCTAAATAATTAGATTTAAATAGCATTTCCACATAACCAACACCTCCATCACTCAAATGACGTGCCTTTGCCTTTAAAGGATCACAACTGTATATTCTGAAGCCATTTTCCATACCACAAGCGAAATATCCTACAAGTGGAAAGATTACACAAACAATAAAGATATTGCTATCTATTCTTGCATTACATATTTATCTTTTTTCTTTAGAATCATAATATGATATTTGAAATATATATGTTTCTTATTTAATATACATATTAGTGCAGATACACAGAAAAGCATGAAGATAAACCACTACAGTTGTATGATTATCATGGAACTCTTTATGAAATAATATCATATCAGACGATATACATAAAAGAATATAAAAGAAATAAATTAAAGAATTAAATATTCTAATAATTCTAATACTTTAAATAAAATTTGTAAATTGAAGAACAACTTTTACTAAATATGTGTTATAAAAAAAATCAATGTTCATGAATAATATAGTTATACACTATATCAAAAGATAATTCAAATAATACGGTTAAAAGCAAAATATAAATATTTAAAAAAGAAATAGATTATGTGAACTGAACCCAAATAATTTCGTAAAATGAATTTAATGCAAATCTGTTAATAAAGATTTTCTGTAATTTTGGATGAATAAGATTAAAAAATATAAAACAATAATAAATTTTGTAGTTTTCATTATTTGAAGCAACTAATAATTTATGAAAACATATTTTCTCACGTAAATATGATATTAATTATATAAAGAAATAAAGTTGTGATAAAGTTACGTGAGAGACATTAGATGAAAAGGTTAGAAGTAAAAAAATAAATTTGACAGTACATGTCCGGACTGTCAAATGTAGCACACTCGGTCACATACCTTGATTCTGATTGAAACCAGCATAAAGCAAGCCGTTCCCATGAGGATTTCCTGCAGTTAGGTTCATCGTAAATCACTTTTTTAATCGCAACATTCGTTCGAACGATCGTTTAGTCGTGGAATTCTATCACATCTTCGCCGGCAAGCACATGAGATACTTTTCGTAACTACGAAGTTCCGTCACCATTATAGGATTTCTACGCATGCGTATTCAACTGTATTAATCAGCTGATACTAGAATCGAATCGTAGTTACACTATATGTATGTACATACATAAGAGAGGTTGTTTGATTCCATGAAGTATTATGATTTTTGTTATACAGAATTTTATTTATATTAATAGTTTTATGCAATAACGAAATAGTGACAAAATTGTAAAAATAAGAAAACAATAAGTTCGTATATATAAATTTCATACGTACAATTTCTTTTTCTATTACTTTAGTTAGGTTATATTATGAAGAATCTTAGAAATTTTTCGGCAATAAGAAAGTTACATACTTGTATTATATTATTTCGGCAGAAACCAGAAAATTTAAAAGGAAAGAAGCATAGTTCCCAATTATGGATTACAAGACAGATACAAGACCCTTATGTGGAAAGGGCTAAACGAGAAAACTATAGGTGTAGAAGTGCATACAAATTATTAGAAATAAATGAAAGATTTAAAATCTTGCAACCAGGGCATGTTGTAATTGACTGTGGTGCTGCTCCTGGTAGCTGGACTCAAGTTGCAATTAATGTAACAAATGCAAAAGCTAAACAGGATGGTGTTGCTGTTGGAATTGTTTTTGGAATAGACAAGCAACCGATTTATCCGATTGAAGGTGCAACTTTATTGAGTGGTATGGACTTTACTGATGCATCATCTCAAAATAAAATACTAGAACTCTTAAAAAGTCGAAAAGCTAATGTAGTTATGTCAGATATGGCACCAAATGCATCGGGTGTCAGAGCCTTAGATCATGAGAACATAATACGACTTGTGTATAGTGCTTTGAAATTTGCTTTGCAAGTTACTCAAATAGATGGAACATTCCTTTGTAAATTATGGGATGGTGGAAAATCTGAACAATTGGAGAAAGATCTCAATAAATTTTATAAATATGTAAGAAATGTAAAGCCACAAGCAACGAGGGACGAGTCCACAGAGAAGTATTTCTTGGCCATGGGATTTAAAGGGTTAAGAAGTACATCCAGTAATACAACGTAACATGCAGTTTTTTTAACAATTAAGTTATGTACAATAAAAAATGCTTAATGAATAAAATGATTTGTAACATAATCGCTTATCATGCCTGGACAGGTAGTAAATAATAATAAAGCATGATATTTTGGTGCAAGACCAACATCGAGTGATTTTATAAGTTGTTTCGTTTTGCGATCTAACAGCTCTTACACGATACGACACGACAATGTGTAATATACATCGATATATTTAGCTATAAATAATACAATAATATTTTTATACAGTTACAATTAATACACATTAAGACGCTGATGACGCTTCTTAATTATACAATGTATATACAATTTCTCTTAATAAAATTAATATGTACACGAATCAACATTCAAATACATGAGAAAGAGAGATTACACACCACATCGAAGCATACGTAGAGCAGTAAAAAGAATTACTGGCCGCGATGTCAAATTCGTAATTTTCATACGTGATAGTCACACGTAGATAATTTCATTTCGTATAAAATCCAAAGGGCATCGATGGATTCCGAATAATGATAATTTTTTATTCCGTATTGCATGCACTCTACCGCGTATTCTCGTACAAAAAAGTTATCGTACGTGTAAAAAGTGAAAAAGAACTATCGCAACGGTCGTAAAGCTAAACGACATCCGACAAACGACTGATTCTCACTATTCCGAGCACTGTCTTCGGAACGCTGGCTTAGGATAATGATCAAATCGCACACCGAAAACATTCATACTACATAGATACGTGTTTTCGCTATACAATGTAGGTGTAAGCTTCGACTCAATTACACTGGAGAAACATAAAGTGTTGCGATTGTCGTAGGTGTGCGAATAAATATGCGTTGCTTTACACGATGCGATATAGAGTATAAATAAAACATGTATTGCGTACCAAAGAGAGGGTTTAAACTATAATTTAATTTCGATGATTAATTTTAAGTTAACTATATTGCAACAAAAGTCAAATATGCATGATGTATGTGTATACATGATGTTCAGTTCAATACGTGCAATTGTAGTTGCAGTTTAAAAGTTAAAAATTAAATTAAAGAACGGTAACAAATTCAAGATTCATAAACGAAAAACACTTAATAAAATGACATGATAAATAGTATAATCGCTAAATTAAATAATTTCGCAGAAAAGTATCATATTGAAAATGGATACATTTTTGTTATCATTTTTGCACAATTTCTTCTTCATTAATTCCTCTCAAATTTAATATTTAAAAGCAACAATTGCACGCATATGCAACTGAATCAAAAAATGTTAAAAGAAATTCTTCATTAAAATAAAATTGAAGCAACACTTTTCCGTGTCGTGATATCCCTTTCATATGTTTCACAACATCAAATTTCAAGACACGTTGCGCACAATTCTCTCGTTCTTTTTTCTCTTTTAAATTCACATATGAACAGAAGCAGCTTAAAATTCAGGAAAGAAAGTACGACCACAACTGTTTACGTTTCTCCGTACAGGGGCAGACATGACGCACATGATGAAGCTGTATGGACAATACTTGGTCGCTGCCGAGGAGAGCAGCGCGCACCTCTCTCGAGATTTTTCTTCGTGACAGAGGGACACGTGATTTCTCTGTTCTATAAATGTTCTATAAATAAAGCAAATACCGCTAAAATCAGTCTGATTCGATATACCGGGGTCACAAGCATGTTCTCCGTGAGTTCGTGAACCCAGATTCCGTGTATACGTACATCGTACACAGATACTTTCGAAGGTGATCTTCTCGGGGTTCAAGATACGATCGAGGACGTTATCGTAATTCGTAATTCAATATACTATACAGACACAGCTTTTACTCGATTTGGGACGCAGTTTCTCTAAAACCAAGCATTTCACGCAACATTATTATCCTGTATACTTTATCTTTTTCTTACCGTAGAAACGCAAGATCGATCGGTCGATTAATCGCTATTACATATCTTATCATCGCAGTCGTCAAACGGTATCAAGGAAGATGGTTCTTCGATGATCGAGTTAGGCAGTGATCCATGACCCACGAAGTGTACACGATTCTTTCCACTTACGTTTCATGCACGATAAAATAACGATTAAACGCGACCTTGCCATTCGCCTTACCGCTCGTCTCTGTTTTCATAACATCGAGGTTTCGTGTATCGCCGCGTTCTTTGTGGTTATGGCGTGCTATCTTGGGAATGTATTTTCGGTTTTGGTGCCGTGGAATCTTCGATCGTGATGCATCTACTATAAAAATGCTAAAAATAGGGTTGCTTCGAGGGAAATTCGGACGCAAAGTTAGCTAATATTTCGAGTTCGCGTGAATACGGACGAGATTCTCGATTTCGATCCCAGTTCTCGAACGACGACGATGCACACACTAGGTCGACGGAAGCGCCGCCTAGGCCGGATTTTAACACTAAAATCGCGGGATATTCGACGTCCGCGCGTTACTTCGCGAGTTCCTTACCAAATTGAGGTTAAGACATACGTCTAAAAACCGTAACGCCACATCGAGAGTAAGGAAGCTTTCATCGACCTTAAGCCTCTTTTATAAATGTACAAATACAAGCTGATCGTAACTTACTTTTTCGATATACGTAATAAAAACCTTCCATATCACCCTTGCTTTCTAACCCCACGTTAAAGTGACATGACACGTTATCCTAACCTTAATCACGAGTAAGCTTAAGGATACACGTGCCATTGTTATACCATCGATCTTACGAAAGGAGAATCTCTTAATCTGTAACTTAGGCCTATACGAATGTCGTTTCTTGATCGAATACCTCGAAATATCATTGTATCGAGTCCGCGGTACAGGAAATTAAGGGCAACGATACGCGTGGCGGAAATTCGACCAAGATTCGAAGCTTCGGCACTCGAGAGTAGCATGCGGAAGTGAACAGTATACACAGCCGAGACTACAGAGAGAGAATCCGCTATTCCCTGGATGAAGGGCTACGTTCCAGTACGAAGAACACGGTATCCGTCCATCAGAAGCCCTTTCACCGTGGAGTATCTCTCTGTAGACGGGTTTCTCGACGACAACCCCGCGACAGACGATGAGTCAACAGGTGGAGACGATGGCGGCTAGCCAGATAGACTTGGATCTCTCACTGAATGAGCATGTCTCTGACGAGACGTCCTAACCTTCATTTACTCGATGGACCAGGGCTCCCACGGTGAACGGTCATCGATAGTCGTGTTGGGGCATCAGATTCTCACAGATGTCGCTCTGCTGAAAAAGCGATTTCGTGTGACCGTTCACCTTCGTCGCCTAGGCGATCCGATTAAGCTAATCGCGTAGAAAGCAGGGACACGTATCGGTGGATAATCGAGTGTCGCCGAGGCTTTTCACGGCCCTAGTTTGCTGTCGCAGTGGGAACGTCCAGAGACTGTGGAACTGTGCCAAATAAATTAAGAGTCGTGAACTCTTGCCGACTGCCGATGAATCCTGGCCATTTGCATGCCGACCAACGACGCGTTCGTCGCGTAGAACCGATAGGCGGGCCGATTGATCGTATATAACACGCATTTACTGTCGGGTTAACGAGCACACAGAATCGTGCGGAGCGCGTTGCCGATACCCGGTGCATCGCCACGTTGCGTAATGTCGGACTTTGCCGAGCAGCGTCGGACAATTCTTTCTTTTCTTTTCTTGCGTTTAGCGATCGCCTTTAAGAGGGACAGTCTTTGGAGACTATAGCGGACTACGGTTATGATCTACGAAACGAAGAACGATAGCGAGTAAGAGGGAGATGTGCCTGATGAACCGCTACAATTGAACACTCCTCTGCTTTCCAACATTGGCACCAAGTTGTCCCAGATCATCCCGAGGCGATCAGAGACTCGATCAAGATACCAGTCCTGGTATGCTTCCTCCTCGTGAGGAAATCGGGTTAAAGGAAGAGAACAGATCTATCAAACGGAGAACAATACTATAACTGGACGCTCCTCGAAGTACTGTTGGCCATCTCTAGCTCTTCTAGCTCAGGTGTTACCGAAGTGGGCGATATCGTCGTCGACGAGAGGAGGATCAGCATAGGTGACACTTCGGTCGAGTTCGACAGCTGAGACTCGTTACTCCACAAGTCCTCCTCCTCTTCGCTCACGTTCATAGTTCTCTCGTTAGACACGTTGAACGACACGGGCATATCGATGGGGATCTTATAGTCGATCACGCCAGAGAAATTCGTGTCGTTCGTGTCGTCGACGAATTCGGCCACGGGAACCACCGTGTCGAGCGTGGACGTGGTACTCTGGTCATCCTCGTCAGAGGTATCATCGGAGACGATAGTCGTATCGTTCCCATTAAATACATTCGCGTCGTTCTCTTCCTCCTCACTGCTGTTCTTCGTCTGATAGAACGTGACAATAGACTCCAACGGTTGCTCTTCTTCCTCCACGTCTATTTCCTCTCGTGGTGGAACCACGACTGGTACGTTCATCGAGTCTCTGGTCTCTTCGTGGTCCACTTCGGACGACTTGGTGTCCATGTCGGAAAACAGAGGGATGTTCAACTGTAATGGGCCACTGGACTTCTTCTGACTGCTACCAGAGGACGATGCCTCGGAACTGCTGCCTCGGTTTCCGTACCGGTCGTTCAGTCGCTGCAAAAGGAAACCGAGGTGAGCTTCGTGATTGATATTCACGCTTTTCACGCATCTACCCATCGTGTCTGCTCGATAACCGTCCGCGCAAGGCGGCAGTGCTGGTAACGCTGGTGCAATGAACACGCTCTTGGGTGTGATCCGTTTGAGGAAACTGGCGGAGTCCAAGCTGGAGTGGGCTCCCGTTTGAGAGTCCAGGAGAAGCCAAGCCTGCCAGGCTAAGTCGCTAGGCGAGCCAAGGTTCTGCGACCTCGATTCAGCGGAACTTCTCGATAACGTGGGCGACGACGAGGGTGACGAGTCTGTTAGCCTCTTCGTGGACATTGGTTCGCAATACCTAATGAGGCCGGACAAAATGACGATGACGAGCAGCATCCTCCAGCAGGGATGCCTTCGACGCTGGCTTATCACGAGCATGTTCGCTTCAGTCGACGAGCTTTCCTGCCGGATTCGTTCGAGGTATCTTTGGAGATTCTCGTCTGAAACCTGCTCGTCACCTGCCCCTCGTACCTTGACACATCGGAATCGTCTGCAAATAAAAGTACGAGGTTATGCAATAATATAAGAGACGAGAGACTGTAATATACACCGTGTGCGAGTTATCTCTGAACGCGTAGATAATTTTGGAAATGCAGATAATTTGGGAAAATTTTTCAGAGTAAAGTTGTAATACTTTTGTACACCTATGTCTGAGTATTTACCTTTTGAATCCTTTCCTGAAATATTTTTCTATATTATCTATATTTCGAGATATTTGCACGTTCGTAGATAATTTACGCATATTGTACAGTAATATATAATAAGATAATAATTGGTATAAAATAATAAATAATATCGACAATTGAGGAACTTTTTTGAAAGTAGAGTATTTCTCGAGACGATCTTTTTCCAATCATAGCATTTATATAGTCTTATTCTATATTAAAGACGAAGCTTATGCATTAAAGCTTTTATCGATATTGCGATTTTAGAAATTAAAAAACATATAATAAATTACATTTTGATGATAATAAATAATAAATTTATTGATATTATTATTAAATAAATTTTATTTAATTTTAAAATTATAA